CATTGCCACCTACTTTAGTAGTATAAACATTTAAACGTAGACAATCTTCTGATATCAGCTTGCCATCGGGATGAGGGCAACTGGGTCCTTCTTCGCTTGCATCGAAGACGTTTCGCCAATCGTTCGCTGGGATTGGAGGCTGAAATAATTTAAGAATGTAATAAAACAATGATTTGAGTAATTTAAAATACAATAAGACAATAAGACAATAGAGTAAAAAAATATAATTTTGTTAACTATGTAGTCAGTGAAAAAAATATCATGCAATTTATGATTAATCTCTTAGAATGTGGAAATTATAGCTTTATTTCCTCATATCGTGGAAATGAGATAATTTGTTAATCAGCAATCAACTCGTTAACAGTAATTCAACACTCTGTTCTCGCGAATTTGCTCGATACTAGAATGAAGAAGTTAGTCAAGATATTTTGCAAGTAATATTAATGAAAATATTTAGTTTCAATTTTCATGTTTGAAATTTCACGTGTATTGTAGTTTCTGTACAAAAATTGAAGTATGTATTTATAATGTTACGATAATCCTTAATGGATTTATTATGACACAAAGTAACGAGGAAAATACAAAATTTCTTACTTGAAAACGTTGCTGTCCAATAGGTGGTTCACCATATCTTATACCACGGAAAGAATAGATCTTTCTACCAAGTCTAGAGGTGAAAATAGAACCGCGAATTTTCCCAATTGGTGCAGTGACCAACGGTTGCTCTTCGGTCGATTGTTGAGCAATAGCAACGCCACTGATACAAAAGAAGATTATCAGAATGCCTTTCATTTTAAGCTGGAAGCTTTATTGTCTTGTTCTTGGAGAAAAAGGCAAATTGATAAGAACGAGTTGATTCAGTTAACCGACACAGTCTTCGTGCAAACACTGGAGACCTCGATGGCAAATGCGAACAATTTATACGAGAGCTACGAGGAAAACGACTGGGGAAACCCAGTTACCTTCCTGCAACGAATAATAATCTTTTATGAACTCTTGCACGAAAATATTTCTATTTACCATTCACAGTGTTTATCACGCATTTTTTAACATTTTTGTTTTTCTCTCCTTGTTATAAATACATTCTCTAACATTCTTATTTTTTAATTACACGTATTTCTATTACGATCCAGTACCATTAATATCAAAGATTTGTGATAAAAGAATTTTTGTCAAAATATATTCATTTTAAAATTTCATTGACACTGCATTTTACACGAGTAATTTCAGCTAAATTATAGTATAACACATAATAAATAATTAGGTGCATAACACTATTAATGAATGATAAAATATTTCTCATGTTTTATTAATTAAAAATTACGACTCCGATAACCTTTTAATTCGATAACCTCTGTACGAATCATTTGTATTAAATCAACATAATAATTATTATATAGATAATGATTGTAATATAACGCTATTTTAAGGAATAATAAAATATTTCTGTTTTATTCCGTTCAAAGAGACAGCAGCATCTACATATCTTTATTGCGCTCTGCGTATTATACTTTATTAATACTTTAAATTAAATTCAATATCGATCAGAGAAATAGGCTTCCAATCATAGATTCAATGTTTCATTGTATTTGGAACTGAAGGTACTGGGAACAGTGTCTCCCACAGGCGCATTCTTTCAGGGAAAAACTCAGTCTTCATAGACGGATGAAGATTGAGCTCCAAGAAGTTAGTTTGCTCAGGTATCAGATTGCTCCATCTCACATTCCTGAGTTTGTCATCGTTCTTGGGAATCGGTTCGCCATTTATTACGAAGTTCGACCATATACTCGTAGAAATTTCCACCATAGGAATTTCCGGCGCATCGTTCTCGAAATACGGGAAGAAATTCTTCATGAAGAAAAGATACTGCAAATCGTCGTGATGCGTTACACCTGAAAAAGATATGAATAGTTTAAGATATAATCTTCACTGTGTGTTCTTAAAAAACAAATATAGTCCTTGATATTCTTGTATTCTTCGAGTGAAAAGTTTTAATTTCTATAACAATCTCTACATTTGTTTAAAACTCATACTACTAAACTCATAATGTTAAAAGTAAATTGTTGATATTCGTAAACTTTTGGAAACACTTGAAGTTCTAAAAACTTATAAAATATATAATATCTGAAACATTGACAAAGTGTAATACTTGTTATAATAGATTGACAGATGAAACAAGTTTTTACTTAAATTTACACTTTTCAGTTACGAAAGTATAAAATTGCATATAATTGTAGCCTA